CCTGCATCTCAATCCTGGGGAGCAGACAAGAAAGAAGTTTCAGAGAAGGAAAGGCAGAAAAACCAGGCTGTACTGGTCCCATGGAGCCACCAAAGCATCCACTACAGCCAGAGGATCTCTACATCTGGAAACAAACTTGATGTTGAATCTGGAGGCCAGGAGTTCCACACCTGGCATCCCCCACCCACGACCAGACTCTCTGAAACACCTTCAGTTGAAGATACCATTTTCCTGGGTCCAGGTGTTGCCAAATAAGGCAGTCTGCTTGCCAATTGCCCCACATCCAGAATGTGAACGGTGGATAAAGTTGGAAAGTGCAGTTCTATCAAGACCGATTTTCTTCTGCTTTACTTTCCACAGCAAGCTTCTGGTTCCTCCTTTATGGTTATGTATGCAACTGCAGTGGCATTGTCTGATTGAATCCTGATCAAATGACCCAGTAGCTGAGGGGGTCCAGCATTGAAGGGATAACCATATTCCTCAGAGCTTCAGAATGTTGACTGAAAGTGACAACATTCCCTGCACCAATGGGGTGTTTGTGACTCCTCCCCCAGCCTGTTATCAGTCATCCAGGATATTAGAAGAAAGGATTTCTCTGATTCTAGGGCTGGGTTCCTGGGCTACTAGACTAGAGAACCTGGTCTTGGTTGGGTATTGCCTCGTCATAACCTCATCTTTTATATTTAACAAAAAAAATGGGTGTGTTATTGTGCTTTGGGGCACTAAAATTAACTTAAGCACATTAATACATTTTTGGGGATTGATAAAAAGTTGCGCCAACACAAAATTTGCAACTGCCACTATTTAATTCTACAGGGTTTTGGCTTTCAGAAAATATATAATGTTTTGGAGGGCTGAAGTAATTTTCAGGCATAAAATGTGGATTAGATCATGTGTGCAAAAAAACAGGCATTGGCAGGGAAAGGGTTAAGAATCACAAACTAAGGCCGAGTAATCAGCCGAATACTTTTTATTAGGTAAGTCTGCAGAAATGCAGACTGAAGCAAATGTTCAGATGCTTGTATAAAACCCTACCAATTTCTAAAAGGCTTTGTTACAAATTTTAAGAACTCCAGGAAACCCCTCCCCCCCCCCCCCCCCCGTACTGCAAGGGTTAAGGGCTTTTTTTTTCTTGTCTAGGTCAAAGTTATACTGGCCAACTGTCGCACCACTCCCTCCAGCCCGTCTCCTCCTTCGCTGCAGCACTGAAATCGTCCTCAGCAGCCTCACGTTTATACACTGTGGGGAATTTATCAAAACTGGAGCAGACAAAATCTTAACTCAACAAACTGAAGAGAGAAGGTGATTGGATGCCCTGGGGAACTGCTCAGTAGCCCTAGTGCAAGGGTTAATCACATTTTTTTCTTCTTTAGACTCTAGTTTACTAATTTTGTTTCTTTGAAATGTAGACTGCTTATGTGGATACACCATGACAATTAAGTCAACTACAATGTTGTAGCTTTGAAAAAAGAAAAAAATTCACACCCTGCAGAAGTTTTGTACATTGCATCCTAGACATTAGTACCCAGTAACCAGCTCTACCTGCACATTAAAGCACTGACAAAGTCTATAAGTACCTGTTCTTAAAATGGCATTTTAAAGGACCACCATCATTTAAAGCTTGTATTCCAAGCTCTATGGAAGGGGATTTTCTCAAAACTGAAGCAGACAAAATCTGGAGCAGTTGCCCATGGCAGCTAATCAGCTTCTCTTCTCAGTTTGCTCAGGTAAGATTTGAAAATGAAAGATAGAAGCTGATTCGTTGCAGTGCAAATTTGCTTCAGATTTTGTCTGCTCCAATTTTCATAAATTCCCTTATTGTGATTAACCTCCCTGGCGGTCTGATTTTTAAATATTTTTTTTTTCATTTGTCTATTTTTTATCCGTTTTTTTCCCTTTTACGGTTAAATTTGCAGACGGCTTCATCCCCCTGCAACGCGTATGCTCGCAAGGGACGGAACCCGGATGCCGGCATCTGCCGGAGAACACAGCGGGGATCGTGGACAAGGTAAGTGTGGCGCTGTGTAATCCCGAGTGTGGCTCGGGGTTACCGCTTTTGGTAATGAAAATTTACCCCGAGCCATTCTCGGGAATACCACCAAGGAAGTTAATGCAAATACATGATACTGTTTATTATATTATTTATTCAACATTATTTCTAATTTTCTTAAGATATATAGACCAATCTGCCCAGCAAAGTGACAGTGACCATTTTTGGGACAAACTAACACTAACAGATGTTTTTATACTGGTTTAATTCACATGGATAAAGGGCACAAAAAAAACAAAAACACCTTACTGCAAGTGAGCAAGCATTCATGGCAGAAAACAGGACAAGAAGTCACAGACAGACCAGACCTTTGGGGTCTTATTGCTTTCCTGGCAACATACAAATGTCCCAATTTCACACCCGAGATTCTGCACTGCTTATTGTGTTGGCAGTACAGTCTTAAGGTTTCTGCAAGGATACAGATAGTATTATACAGCGTGGAAAATAATTATTTGATCCCCTGCAGATTTAGTAAGGTCTATAATTTTTATTATCATAGGTGTATTTTAAATAAGAGACAGAATATCACTCAAAAATCCAGAAAAACCACATGATACAAATGTTATAAATTAAGTTGCAGGTCAGCAAGTAAAATAAGTATTTGATCCCAAAGCAAAACATGATTCAGTACTTGGTGAGGAAACCCTCGTTGGCAAGCACAGAGGTAAGACGTTTCTTGTAGTTCGTTACCAGGTTTGCACACATCTCAGGAGGGATTTTGGTCCACTCTTTACAGATCTTCTCTAAATCCTTAAGGTTTCTTGGCTGTCGCTTGGCAACTTGAAGTGTCAGCTCCCTCCATACATTTTCTGTAAGATTAAGGTCTGGAGACTGACTAGGCCACTCCATGACCTTAATGTGCTTCTTGAGCCACTGCTTTGTTGCCCTGGGCGGTATGTTTTGGGTCATTGTCATGCTGAAAGACCCATCTTCAGTGTTCTGGCTGAAAGGAGGTTCTCATCTAAGATTTTACAATACATGGCCCCGTCCATTGGCCCCTCAATGCGGCAAAGTCGGCCTGTACCTTTAGCAGAGAAACTGCCCCAAAACATAATTTTTCCACCTCCTTGCTTGACTTTAGGGATGGTGTTCTAAGGATCCTAGCCAGCATTTTTCTTCCTCCAAACATGGCGAGTTGAGTTAATGCCAAAGAGCTCAATTTTGGTCTCATCTGACCACAGCACTTTCTCCCAATCCTTCTCTGAATCATTTAGATGTTTATTGGCAATTGTCAGACGGGCCTGTACATGTGCCTCCTTGAGGAGGGGGACCTTGCGGGCGCTGCAGAATCTCAATCCATGGCGGTGTATTGTGTTACCAATGGTTTGTTTGGCGACTGTGGTCCCAACTGCCTTGAGATCATTCACAGGCTCCTCCCATGTAGTTCTGGGCTGATCCCTCACTTTTCTCATGATCGTCCTTACCCCATGAGGCGAAATCTTGCATGGAGCTCCAGACCGAGGGCGATTGATGGTTATTTTGTATTCCTTCCATTTGTGAATAAATCGCTCACAGTTGTTCTCCTCACCAAGCTGATAGTCTTGCTGATAGTCTTGTAGCCCATTTCCAGCCTTGTGCAGGTCTACAACCTTGTCCCCAACGTCCTTTGACAGCTCTTTTGTCTTGCCCATGGCGGTGAGGTTTGAATGAAAAAGAGATTCTGTGGACAGGTGTCTTATATACATAACAAGTTGTCGTTAGGAGCACCTTAAAGTGACAGGACTAATCTGTGTACCACATAGCCAGACTGTGGGAGCCAGAATTATTGTTGGTTGGTAGGGAATCAAATACTTACTCACTGAACTGCAACTCCATTTATAACATTTGCATTGTGTGTTTTTTGGGGATTTGTGGTTGATATTCTGTCTCCATCATTCACAATACACCCATGATAAAATTTATAGACCTTTCATTTCTTTGTAAGTGGGCAAACTTACAAAATCTGCAGGGGATCAAATAATTATTTCCCTCACTGTATATAGTCTTCCCTTGAAGGGACCTGTTTGTCAACATGAAAACCACATTACATGAACATATATACTGCAGAACTCAAAAAGGAAGCCTGCTGTTTCTTCCCTACAGCGAGCTCCACAGCCAAATGCAGGTCTGAAGGTGGCGATACACCTGATTATAGTACGATAATCGTCAGGTGTATGTAAGACCGTACAGTAGAAACAGTCGCACGTCTTTTGTCTTACAAGCACGTTGGAAAACCAGCCGAAAATCGTACGGTTTTCCTCGGGTTTGTGGCGTGCACGAAAGACAAATGCCGGACGGGCCGGTGTGCACAAGCGCGCACTACCCGCTCAGCACTGCAGTCATCGGAAGCCCTCCCCTCAGCGGGGCGGGCTTGCGGTGATCGCAAGTACGATCTGCCTGTCCAAGATGGGCAGATCGTATGAGCATTTAATTACCTTACAACCATTGCGCGATGAAAGCCGTGCGATGGTTGTAAGGTGTATGGCCAGCTTAAGTTGGGGATCTTTATTTAAAAGGCATCTAATGGCCTGGCAGCTGACAACCATTGGAGGGTTAAGATGGGTTGGAAGCAGCAGGTGGTTAAAATTGGTAACAGAATTGGAGTCAGAGCTTGGTTAATATTTTGCAACAGGTTTGTCAAGTTGATGGTATGGTTTACCTGACTTTTGCTGGCCATGCACACATTACTCCCATGAAGAAAAAACTTTTACATATTATAGTCTAATCTTGAAATTGATTCCCTACCACTATTTTAAATGCTTTCAATAATTTTGGAGGGGAATGAACCCCCCCCCAAAAAAAAGAGCAATCAGTTGGAAAACTGGCAGTTTTTATTAAACAATATATAGTGCAACTGACCGATTTAAAAAATATTGTATTCAGGGAAATGAAATGTTGACATTGAAAATTATTGGAGAAGCAGGTGAAATTACTATAGGTTGCATACTAAAACTTTGCATGATATGCTTACCTGTTAATGTGATTTAAATCAGTGGAGTCAGAAATGGATGCAACCATGAAATCATCAGTCAAGCACAGGCCATCATAGCTCTGATTCCTCGACTGAAACAGGAGAAATGCTGTATTTTATAAAAGACCTAAATCAACAAATCTAAACATTTGAAAGTAACCGCATGCGGTCATTACCTTTGTTAGCTGAACAAGTCTATTCTACATCCTTCTCACCCTTGCTTCTCTGTTACTAAGGCGGAGTTCACACCTGGGCGTTTTTCAGCGCTGATCAAAGCGCTGAAAAACGCTCAGCAAGTGAAATCCCATGAATCCCTATGGGCATGGTTCCCACCTGGGCATATTTCAGCCCGTGGAAACACGCTGAAAAACGCCCTACGCCCAAACAAGTACAGGAGAATCTTTGGGGCGTTTTTCCACGCATATCCATTGGTATTCCTGAGTGTGGATCGGGGTAAACAAAGCGGTAACCCCGAGCACACTCGGGGGTACAGCGTAGGACTTACCTTGTCCGCGATCCCCGCTGTGTCCTCTGGCCACTTCCGGGTTCCGTCCCTTGCGAGCGGCCGCGTCGCAGGGGGGGCGGAAACGGAGGGAAGTTTGAAAGTTAAAAAAAA